GTCGGGGGGCAGCGGCGGCGGCGGGGGAGGCGGCGGCGGCGGCTCGTCGGCGCACACGCAGGACGGCTCGCACCAGCCCGTCTTCATCTCCAAGGTGCACACCTCGGTGGACGGGCTGCAGGGCATCTACCCGCGCGTGGGCATGGCGCACCCCTACGAGTCGTGGTTCAAGCCCTCACACCCGGGCCTGGGGGCTGCGGGCGACGTGGGCTCCGCCGGCGCCTCCAGCTGGTGGGATGTGGGCGCCGGCTGGATCGACGTGCAGAACCCGAACGGTGCGGCGGCGCTGCCCGGCTCGCTGCACCCGGCCGCCGGGGGGCTCCAGACCTCGCTGCATTCCCCGCTCGGAGGCTACAACTCGGATTACTCCGGCCTGAGTCACTCGGCCTTCAGCAGCGGTGCCTCCTCGCACCTGCTCAGCCCCGCGGGCCAGCATCTCATGGACGGCTTCAAGCCGGTGCTGCCGGGCTCGTACCCGGACTCGGCCCCGTCGCCGCTAGCCGGCGCGGGGAGCTCCATGCTGAGCGCCGGGCCGTCGGCGCCTCTGGGCGGCTCCCCGCGCTCCTCCGCCCGCCGCTACTCGGGCCGGGCCACCTGCGATTGCCCCAACTGCCAGGAGGCAGAGCGGCTGGGCCCCGCCGGGGCGAGCCTGCGGCGCAAGGGTCTGCACAGCTGCCACATCCCGGGCTGCGGCAAGGTGTACGGCAAGACGTCGCATCTGAAGGCGCACCTGCGCTGGCACACGGGCGAGCGGCCCTTCGTGTGCAACTGGCTCTTCTGCGGGAAGCGCTTCACGCGCTCGGACGAGCTGCAGCGGCACCTGCGGACCCACACCGGCGAGAAGCGCTTCGCCTGCCCCGTCTGCAACAAGCGCTTCATGCGCAGCGACCACCTGAGCAAGCACGTGAAGACGCACAGCGGCGGCGGGGGCGGCTCGGCGGGCTCGGGAAGCGGCGGCAAGAAGGGAAGCGACACCGACAGCGAGCACAGCGCGGCGGGCAGCCCGCCCTGCCACTCCCCGGAGCTGTTGCAGCCCCCAGAGCCCGGGCACCGCAACGGCCTAGAGTGAGGTGTACCGGGTCCCCGCACCTGTCCCCGCACCTGGGTCCACTGGAGGGGAGGGGGGGGCAGGTCTGTCTTGGCTTCCACTTCGGCCTCTCTCCATTGCACCCTGCTCGCTCTCTCGGTCTGTGTCTCTACGTCTCTGCCTCTGTCTCTCTAGTCGCTCCATGTCTTTCCTCCTGACTTAACTTTGCAAAGGGACGTGTACCTAACTCGCATCTGTGTCCCAGGCCCCGACCTTCCTTCTCTACCCCCCTAGTTACTGCCCGATCCTGGTGCAGCCAGAATCGAATCTCCTCGCCTTCCAACTTCAGCCCCAGTTGGCCTCACTTTTTGGAGGGCAGCGGCCTCTGGAGTTACATCTGGATGAATTCGGTGCTGTGGAGGTCCTGGGCTTCCGCACCGGCCGGAGCCACTTGGCTGATCAGCCGTGGGGAGAGTGAGGGCCTGGCCCGGCATTCCCCACCCCCCCACTCCCCCTCGGCGTGGCCACCCCCTCGATTCCGACTTGGAGTCCCGGGCGCCTCGGCTTAAAAAGCGCCCTGCTGGGACGCTGCGGAGCTCGGCGGGGTGCTGGTCTAGCAGCACCTAGACCCGGAGTTTGCCGAGGTTAGAGACCCCCCCGCCCCGCCCCCATCAGCTCTGGCCCCTTTTCCTTTGTTCCCTGAGGTGGAAACCAATGCAAGTTTTAGCAAACGTTGTCTTAGAGAATCGCTACCACAGCCATCTTCTTTCATCTTTATAATAATGTTTTTTTTCTCAAACGGAAAGATCTAAGGGGGAAAAAATTTCAACATTTCACTTAGTTTCTGGTTAGTCTTTCCTCTAGTAGTGTATACATCTTTCAAAACTGCTAATATTGATCCCAAAGTTATTTTGATCACATTAACTTAACTTCTGGGGTGGAGGTGGGGGGTAAGGATGAGGTAGGTGTCTTTTTCTTATGCAAAAATACTCTTTCCGGTGAGATCAGATTACTATCTTTGCGTTTGTCCTTTTCTACCTCGTTTCCCACCATTCCCCAGTATAGTCTCATTTCTTTTTTTAAATTCTAGCGGTCAATTTGTATAGTACTCATTTCTGTAAAGTTTTGCAACTCTTTGAAAATTTTTAGGGTTTAACTTTGTGTGTGTTTTAAACTTCTAAACAAGTGAAGAAACCTATCATTTATTTCAGAGGCTGTAGTTTAAATGCCAAAAGAGAGAAATTGAGGGGGAGAGAGAGAGAGAGAGAGAGAGAGAGAGAGAAATAAACACCTTTGTACAAAGTATCTGAACCTAATGGTTTGTACAACTGGAGAATCGTTCTAGATTAGTTACACAATTAAACTCCACCAGTGTGAAGGTGTGAGGTACAGTTGTCCAGGAGACGATTTTGTATAGTATTTTTCTTGTACATTACTTCCAGTAAATATTTGAAAATATATTGAAGTAAACTTGATTTTTTTTTTTGTCACAAGAAAATTTTAAGAATTATTGTTGTGGTTCTGATGAGCTGCAGGTCTTTTTTTTTTAACTCATTTCTGGAGGTGCAGAGCCACAAACGCACTTTCGGGGCCTAGTTTTGCTCGAATATGAATTTAGATAGGTATCAAACTGTAACTAAGACAATATTTGATAAATGTTGGATGACATTTAATTTAATGGAGCATGTACTTATTTGCATTTGCTGGCAGTTCAGGCATAGTTAAAGTGAGAATTCTATATTTCGTAATAACTGGGTCACCAAAACCCATGTATTAAATAAATTGTCCAAGTGAAACTCTAACTAACTTTGGCCTTTGTGTATTTCCTGAAGGTAATATTGTTAATTGTTAATAAATACTCCTGTCACTACGCTTAAATGTTTGCAGATTCTGCAAACTAATTGATCATTGTAATGCTGAAATAATTTGGATATTTCACATTGAAATGAAAAGCCTTTCTCTGGAACATTTAAGACTTGCATTTTAAATGCATGAAATGTAATTGATTTATTTGTAATATTTTAAATGGTATTAATAAACTCAGATAAAAGACTAGGCCAGTTAATTTGTATTCTTTTTTTTTCCTTTTTAAACTATGGATATTTGCATTTTATCTTTAGTTTAAATGTCTAATTTAAACAAACTATGACCCTGTTTTGTGGTAATATTTAAATAATTCCCTTTAAAATATTCCTTAGATGGAAAAATTTATCTGGCAAAATTCTGTTTTCTCTGTTTACCAAGATAAAAATTATAGTGTCTAAGAAATGTAATGAATTATTTACCAGTAGATTTAGATCATAGCATCAGAATTTATTGACCTCTGAAAATTTGCACTAAATCGCAAGACAATTCAAAGAAATTTTCCTGTTCTGCTTTTTTCTTGGTCTCCTGAGGGAGTTAAGTTGTTGGCCTTTGATTGTAGTTAGTGTTTAAAAGGCCAAACCTTACATTGGAATATCAGTACATCTAAAATTTTTTAAAAAAGTGGGATTGAGGGGTAACTTTTGTTGTTAGGAGGTGGAGGAGGTCAAAATAACAAAAGCTTGTTTGGGGCATTCCATGTCTTAGCTAAAGATTATGTAGAAGTAAATATCAATAGTAGATTCCTGTTGAAATCAATTATCTGTTCTTTTAAAGTCTCTAAACAGACACCAAAGAAAAGGAAGGTTAAACCTTAATCTATCTATGAGGCTATTGTTCCAAGGTGTCAATGATGCCAATAAAAATATTGTCTTGTTATGTCTAAGTGCATTTAAGCAGTGTTTCTTGAGCCATACTTTGAAACAAAATACTTAAAAATTGTTGATTGATGTTATATCAAACTATTTCACTTTTAGATATTATTTTGAATCAAATTAAATAAAAAGTTAGTGTGTTCAGATTCCAATAAGTTAAGCTTCTTTCTTTTACATTCTCCGGAACTTAGTTTCAGTCCTTGGTATTCATGTCAAACTGAAAAATTTCCATTGAGATTTATGAAATGTCATTATGGTACATAGAGACAAATGTAAATGTAAAGTACTCGATTCTTGGGGGCTGCAGGGGGCAGGGATGAGGAACTCTTAGGTAAATGTGTTTAAAATAATTCAGATGATGTCCAAGTACCAGGCAACCTTAAACTTACTGTCTATGCAGATCTCTAGTTTTAGACACACAGCTCTGATGTTTGGTATACTGTAGCTCTAAATAACCATTATTAATAAATAAAATAGTCTCTGTCACTTTCTTCCTAGGAGTAACATGCAGAACACTGTTTAAGTGTTGTTTCTTTCTTTTTTTCTTGAAAGTTGCAGTGCTGGGGAATTCGGACAGAACCGTTCTGAAGGAATTAAATGTAGTGGAAGGTAAGAGGAAAGCTACACGGTACATTTGTAATGTCTGTAGCATTACATACAGAATCAGCATTTGATTTAAGAGGTGGATTATGACTAGGAGAGGTATTGTCTGGCAGGTTTCTTTGGGATGGTAGAAGAGGAATTGATTATTTTCTGTTGTCTAGCCTTGCAAACTTTCACTTTCTTCTATCTGTTCCTCCTCACGCTTAACTTTGTTGGCTTAACTTTGTTTTGAATGTTACTGAGCAGTGTTTCTGGATTCATTTTCTTCAGGGTGGACAGAGTCCACTTCATAGGAAGGAACATCCTCTTTGGGGAGAATGTCAGATAAAGTACAAAACTGATACTTTTTTCCCCCACCCTGCTTTGTCTGTGAGAAAGCACTTTCTACAAATGGCTGGAGAGATTCACTCAGATGAGGCCAGAGTTTGGGTCTTTGAACTAAAGGACAAGTTGCTAGTCTCCCAGATCAAGGTAGCATCAAGTTAGTTGACTCAGAGGTCAGACCAGCATATATTAACCCAAGCTCAAGAGACTAAAAATGAGTCATTTTTTCTTTCTTCCTTTATTCTTCCCTATTCTGCTTTCCTTCCTGATTCTCTTTTCTCTTTCTCCTTCCCTCTTTTGCTCTCCCTTCATTTCTCTTTTCTTTTTCCTTCCTTCCTTACTTTCTCTCTCTTTCTTTCTCCTCCCTCCCCCCTCCCTTCTTCCTTCTCTCCCTCCTTCCCTCCCTTCTTTCCTTCCTTCCTCCCTCCCTCCTTCCCTTCCTTCCTTCCTTCCTTCCTTCCTTCTTTCCTTCTTCTTCCTCACATCTCTTTTTGGATGATCAGATTCACTGATGTGTAAGACAGAGTTGGAAAGGTTGGCCCATAGAAAAATAATTTTATGCTGTATGCTAAATTTAGACAATGATTAGTTTCTATCCTTTGTCCTTACATGGAAAAAGTTTCTGGTGGGTTCGTCTTTTTACCACTGTCTTCTTGTCTAACTTCTGAACTGCACTTCCTTTGGGTAAGAATGTTAAAATAAACACTTTGACAAGTAGGTGATTTGCTGGACTCCTGAGTAGGCAGATTGACAAATTTGCTAACAGTATTTTTAGCTCCTCTGTAGATGTTTTGTTGCAAGCATTGAATGGAATGTTACTGGAGTTTAGGAGAATTTATTTAAAATAAATATTTCACTTATTTTCAAGGGGTAGGTCAAAGGTCAAGATGGCCTTTTGGGCTGGTAAATTAAGGCAGAAACCTGCTGGGAAAAGAAGTGTAGGTTACATTTGTTCTCTGGTTGTCTAAGATAGTAGATATAGATTTTACTCCCATCCTCCATTATATATAAATAGCCTTAAAGAGGTATTGATGTGATCTAGGTAGTTTAAATAAACTGTGTGTGTATGTGTGAGATATATATATATATATATATATATATATATATATATATATGCACACACATATGTATATATCTCCTGATTTTTTTGTTGCTTCTATCCAGATGGGCATTATTTTTCTGTCTTCATTGCTAAAATAAGTCCAAGTATTACTAATGCCTCTCTTTCTCTCTTGTTTGTTGTTTCTACAACCCTTCCTTCCTTCCTTCTTTCCTTCCTTCCTTCCTTCCTTCCTTCCTTCCTTCCTTCCTTCCTTCCTTCTTTCCTTCCTTCCTTCCTGTGTATTTCAAGAAAAGGATGTTATATAAGGAATCGTT